GTAAACTTTTCAGTTTCTTCCAAATTTCCTTCTAGCCTATGTTGCTTAGTTTTCCAGCTCGCATACTCGTACATTCCATGTACTGATGCCAGTTGGCCTGCATCTTATGATGATGTAGACACAGGTACCCAGGACCAGCATCCGGTAGGCCGTTGATCCAACTGAGTACTCCAGAGTTAGTGGTGAGCTTCTTTGCATTCTGGAGGACTCAGTTATTTTGTTCTCTTAGTCTTGTTTTATTAGGATGTTGTGGGTTCTGTCCCAACATCCATCTCAGTATTTTAGAGGCTTCATAGACAGTCAATCAGTTAGTTTTGAGTCTCTCATCTATGTATATATGTAAATATTCTATTTTGAGACTCGAGTTGCCTTTTGGTCAGATTTTATCAGTTGGGTTGTTTTAAAACCTTGCATTACATTGAGTTATTCCGCTGAGTTAAGAAAGCCAGGCCAAGGGTTCTCTTGGGGGCCAGCAATGGTCTTCGAGTGTCGGCCACGTCTAGGGTGTAGGCTCGGGGCGTGACAGTAATGTCCTTGCCTTACTCTTTTGCCTTCATTGCTGCATATCAACAATTTAACATCAGTTATTAGCATAAAATAGGCATTGAGGACACTAAATCTTTGAATAATAAGCCCTAAATGAGTCAAAATCCCCGACTCATCAACAACCCCAACTTAAACTTTTGCTTGTCCTCAAGTAAAATACAAGATCAATCAGACCAACAAGGATGTCTACAAAAAGTGCTACTTGAGAATCAACATGAATGCATGTGAGGTTCAATCTACACATGCAATGTTCAAATGTGCACTAAAAGTTTCAAACTGTGACTAGCCATCATCAAAGAGAGGTCAAGCTCACAATGCTTAATTCAAATGCAAATTGTAGTTCAACAAGAGTATTCGAATGCCCTCACATCAAGAATGATTCAATGATCTCACAAAACCCATCAAAGATTATAATTTAGGGAATCAAAATCAACTCTAACACTCTCAATGACAAACATATGCATGATTTGTACCCATAGGCTTGCTCGTATTTTACGATCAACACATTATTCAGTTTATGCTAGATCACCAAGGTCTTTTAAGGCTTGTAACATGGCTGAGGGTAAAAGTATGATCATTTTGGCTCAGTGACTTCTAACTTCATGAAGCATAACTTGCATTTCAATTCTTCTCCTTTTCTTTCACTCTTTTCATCTTCACAATCCACCCTATGTATTTTTTAGCACAAAAGTTCTTGTATGGTTCATTGGATACCCATTTTCTTTCCACCAATGCATAAATTGCAAAATTCTTTTTCATTTTTTTTCTTTTTCTTTCTCTCTTCTTTTTTATATGGAGGGGTTCCATCTTTTTCAACACAATTCTTCAAGGGTGAATTTCACAAACTTCTTTCCTCATTTTTCACCACACCCCCAACTTAGGCTTTTGACCTAAGTTGGTTATTCAAACGGACTAAGGCTTCATGAAGGTTTTAGGTGGAGAGGAAAAAGGGCAAAATGTGTTCATGTTTCATCCAAAGAAAAGGTTAGGCTCAAATGGTGCCAAGCTAGGTTCACACTCTCACAAGGTGGTCATAAAGAGGTATAATAGCAATTTGGTTCACTCTCAAAAATTTGTGCATCAGATCATTTCTTTCATTCACCAATGCTAGTCAATTGGACCAACGGGGCAAGTTCCAAGTATTACCAAACACATATTTCAAGAAAACCTCACTACACAAGGCATTCAACACAATCATCGACCATGACTCTACAAGTTAAGCTCGTGTGCAATGATTATTACAAGACTCACTTCGACAATCGACTAGTTACAATGAGATGCTAAGAGTTCACACATGACTTATGCAACTCAAATTTGCCTCATTGGACTTGCGCAAACATATCGTTCAATCAAGAGAACTATTCAAGTCATCGGTATTGTTCGCAACCGATACTCAAATATGCAAGAGAACAATCACAACATTCACAAATTAAGAAATCAGGAGATGGATCACTGAGAGAAAAATACACCAATAATGGTGAGACATTCACCCCACCGAGAAAAACTATGCAGTGTCTTTAATGCATATACAACTAATTTAAATAGTAAAAAGGGAAAGTAAGGATCACTGAATGAAAGGATTAGAGTAGGCAAGACTCTTCACTTCATGCCCAATCGACGAGCATTATCGGTGATGCAGAACCATTCGGCGGATCGCTGAGTGAAATTTGGCTCGCCGAACTTTACAGAAAGTTGGACTTACAGTTGAAGTAAAAAGGAGAGGTTTATCAACCTCGCCGATTCAGTCCGGTGGAATGCCAAAATTCCAAAATTACTACAGCCTCGCCAAATTTTCCTGAATGAATCTTCATCCTAGACCTAGGAAGGGCAATGCACTTGGGCGATCTGGGAGACCAGTTGGTGGTTGGTCGAATGGGTCAATCCATCGCCCAATTGCCATTCTTTAAAAATAAGGGTTCCAACCTACACATTCAACAAACTTTATTCAAAAATAACTAAAACTTGGGTTGCCTCCCAAGAAGCGCCTTAACTAACATCGTGGCATGACGTGGAAATTGTCACGACCCAAGCCTAGGGCCTAGACGTGACTGGCGAATGGGGAACCCGAAGGAACCTCAAACAAGCCTCATAGAGTATCATTACACATCCTTGGTCGCGGAAGCAAATAAAATGACCATAAGCGATAAGCATAATCAAGGGGGAAATCGGGACTAAGGGAACAAGAGAGACAAAAAAAAAGAGGAGTGATACATAGATACCATAGTTGAGTCAAGCTCAAGCATAATACACAACTTGTCCAACACCACCTCTAAACATGAATACTTAGCGGGGGCCAAGACAAACTACCGGGCTCACCCTCATAGTCAAAACATAACTAAAA